TGGAGATACAGCAGCCTTGTCTCAGCCACATAGGGAACTAATCAACAGATGGCCACATTTTAATCAGAATGCAAAAGGAGATAAGTCTCCCTAAGATGGCAGAAGAGAGACAATGATCTGTAGAAATAAAGTCCCCTGGGAAAGCCACATTTCTGATTTGGTCAAACCGCCCTTTCAAAGGTTTGACATGAAGAGTGATTACCTTTCCATCATTTCTTCTAAATTGTCTTTAATGGCCCTCCTCTGATGTCCTGGAACATCAGGTTTTCTAAGTCCCATAATCCAACCCTTTTTCATAAGACATGAAATCTGCTAAGAAACCTACTTCCTGAAATAAATTGCTAATAGAGCAATGCAGTTGTTCCCCTGAACATGAGATCCACACACTGACATACCCAAGTCATTCCTAGTTTCAATAATCCATCAGGGTTTAGGTTAGTATTGTACTGTAAATGTTTATGTCCCAAACACATTCTAAAGTTAAAACCTAACCCCCAAGTTGATGACACTAGGAGATGGGGCATTTGGGAAGATGTCTCGGTCTTTGCCTTTATGAATAGAATTAGTGCCCTTATAAAAGAGGGCTGAGGGAGTGTGTCTGCTTCACTGTGTGAGGTCACAGCAAGAAGACACCCCTCACCACACACAAAGTTGCCACATTGTTCTTGGACTTCCCGGCCTCCATAACTGTAAGAAATAAATTTCTGTTGTTCATAAGCCACTTAGTTTTGATATTTTGTTATGACATAGCTAAAAGTTGTGTCATATAACCATTTCTAGATAAAAGGAAAACCTTTCATACATGAACTTTGGCCCTTCATAAATATTTGATGAATGAGTAAATGTCCTAGATAAGAATGGACCTAAGATGACAGAAGTTAATGATAATGTGATTTTATTTGGATATAGTGTTTTCATCATTCTAATTTAAAAAGAATGTATATTCTCCCCCTAAAAATGCATAGAAACTATTCATGCCGTTCTTTCTTCCCACATTGGTGATGAATTTATAGTGAGTGACCTATCCTTACTCTTAATCTGGTCTTTCTCACAAAATGAATGGCACATACTAGTAGATGGAGAAAAGGAGCTTTTTTATTAACACATATTAATTGTACAAAGGTGTTTTATTGTGATATGTCCATACATGCATATAATGTGCTTTGATCAAATTCACCCCCTCTATTACTTTCTTATCCTCCCTCCAAAAAATTTTTAATGAGTTTCATTATTCTATTTTCATATGCATGTATAAAGTTCTTCAATCATATTCAATCCCCATTACTACCCTCTCCTTTTGCCCTACCTCCTCCTGCTGGTTCCCCCAATAAAACTTGTATCTCCACATTTTTTCCTTTGCTGAGCCTCATTACTCTTTTCTTACAGACACGTTCAATGGAGGACAGGGTAGTCCAATTAACTGTGTCATAAGGTGATTGAAATTATGACCGCAAGTGTATAACACCATAACCAGTCAGTGAAGGAATGATAAATCCTTGCACGTATAAGAGTCAACTACAGAGCTGGGTGTGGTGGCAAAACCTGCAATCCCAGTACTTAGGAGGCTGAGATAGGTGGATTGAAAAGTCAAGGCCTGTGCTACATAGCGAGACCCTTTACAAGCATGCATTGGGGAAACGCTCCATGAGCTAAACAAATACGTACCCTAACTCTATCTCACAACCAAATTGCTGAGTTTTATATTCAGTTGTCATTTGTAATGAAAACCTTGAAGGCTCACTGAAGTCACCTAAATGTATTAGACAGAAGAGAGAGGGGAGGAATGTAACCGAATGGAAACATGCATGCGATATCTGCAACTTTTACCTCAGAAATCTGTCTCTATTTTAGAGGGCAAAATTACTCTCAAAAAGTATTAATTACCAAAAGAAAAAAGAGTTCAGAATATAACAACAAAAGTATTAATTACCTTTAGTCATCTTAAAGGATTCCTGGAATGTTATGGCTAAACAAGAATCAATTCCCTGGATAATTTCCTCCAAGACAAGCCACTGCTTGTCTAGAGTTTCTTCTATCTAAAAATAAAAAAGTATATTTAACATGAAAGAAATTCTAAGCCATTTAAAGAAAGCTTTGCTTTCCTTGTTATATGAAACTCTTTCTGTGTACAATCTGTTATATTTGTCTTCATTTTGTCATGGAGTTTGGTGCTTCTAGGCATACCAAAGACATATCTTACTTAAATTACCACGGTTCTGTGATTTTAGGAGACACTGGATCAGATACAAGGCGCCTCACTCAGACCCTTCCTTCTCTCCCTGAGCGTAGTCACAACCTCCAGACAAGCTGGCAACTCCGAATGAATTTCAAGAATTTGAGAGACCAAGTTGAGTTGTATGCTACCTCCTTGCTCACAATTTTGCCACTCAAGCCTAATATTGAGGTATGATAAACTTGTAGCTGGAAATCGTTCCTAAACAAAACATCTAAATGTTGTTGGAGCATTATGATATTTCTTGAAAAAAACCAAAATGATTAAGCAGAGGATACTTAGTTTTAAATAAGCATGATTACAGTTATTAAGAGATCTGAATACTGTTGGGAAATGTTTGCTATTAGCTAAAAAAAACTGGATGCAAAGTTATATTGTCCATATAATCACAACGTATACAATAGGAGCAGAGAGCCGACACAGAGTAAGCATTATATAGACATTTGTTAAATGAATGAATCACGACTGTTTTAAAAACAGAATCTTGCCTAGGAAAGGGCTAAAACATGCATGGCAAGAGTATACTTCATAACTTAGTTATCAAGTTATGACCATCACAATCATAGTTATCTTGTGTTGAGTGCCTAATTTACACCAGGTATCAAGTTAGACATTACCTCATTTAATGTTTTACTTAATTCATTTATTTAATCAGTTGTAAAGACAGCTACTAATACTAGACACTGTTTTAAACATGGAATATAAAGACAAGTATCAAAGAGTCTTTGCCATGAAAAAAAAAGTGTAAGAAAACTTGACTTCAATCAAATAAGGACTTAATCCATTTTTTGTTGCTAATAACACAATGCCACAGACTGGTAAATTATAAAGAAAAGAAAAGAGGTTTATTTTTCTCATGACTTGGGCAACAATGAGGGGCTGATTCTGGTAACTGGCTTCTTGCTGCCAAAGTCCTGAAGCAGCTCAGGATATCACATGGTGAGAAACAGAACATGAGAGGCCTAACCAAAATGGCTTTTCTAGCAGATCTACTCTGGAGATAACCTATTAATTGCTTGAATTGATTAATCCATTCATGAGGGCAGAAGCCCAACAATCTTTTAATTATCCCACCTGGTGAGTGCAGGTATTCTCTCTCTCTGCTTCCTGACCCCCAAAATGTGTACTGCTCTGTGCTGCAGAGAGCTCCTTCCAACATGATAGGCAGAAACCTTGAGCCAAAATGAATCCTTCCTCCCTTTAAGTTGTGTATGTCAGATATTCTGTCACGGCAACAAAACACAATCACCCACCTAACAGAGGCTACCCTCCTCTTGACCACTTCTTTACTCACCTTTTATGTACATGCTCGGATTTTTCTTCTATCTCCTTCACTGAATCATAACTGCACAAAACCTTGTCACTTCAGTTTGTCTGCATCCCTGTGCTTATGTAATAGATACTTAAACTGCTTTTGCTGAAAAGCACTGCCTCCTTACTTGGCGTCAAGAATTCACTAAAAACAGGAAAACCTTGGCATTTCTTTCTCCATTTTGTACCTGTTGCCCTTTGTTCTGTGCCATTTTCTCTTACTGCCTCGTTGGAATCAAGAAAAGACAGGCATGATGGATTACATCTTTATGACAAGGGACTGAAACTACCCTAAAGGCATAGAGAGCTTTGCAGAACAGACCACCACTCCAAATGAGAACAATTACCTATAATGATGAGGCTGTGCCCTGGACCAGATCCCCCTTCCCCCACCTCCCCAGTGATTACAGTGTTAACTTTTCTGGAACCCTGGAATAATAAAGACTAAGCTAATGACCAACCAAGGCCACACCTGTGACTGGGGCTATTTAACTATACATGTTTTTTGTCCCCTGCCCCTAATTCATTGTCTATTTAAAGTTAAAGCTCATACCTATACCTTGAAGATGGCTGAAGACAGGCTAATAGCTTCCTTTGCCTCTTCCTACCTCATGGCATGTCCTGTCAATGTAATAAAGCTTCTCTGCCCTTCACCATGTCTCATAATTTGGTCTATAGGGTAAGCAGCGGGACCTGACACGTGGAAGGGCAGGAGTTTGGGCCTGGTGTTCAAGAGTCCGGTTTCTTAGAGCATGGTAGGAGCACAAGAATAGTTCTTGGGCAACACTTCCAGAAAGCCTGTGTGCTTGTACATATGCCCCATATGCCCCGGCCTATTGTAGCCAATTTCAGGACCCCGTGGTCAGCTGTACCACGTGTGCAGAGAGGGTGCAGGAGATGGCCTTAACGGATCCCAATGGAGTTGATCCAAGAGCCCACAGGCCTAGCACAGGACATCCAACTCCCCAGAGCCCTCCCTCCGTTTTCTCGGCCTTCCTCCCACCACGGGCAACCGTTCATGTGCCCTGCTTCTCCATGCCAGTAGTCATGTGCGCATAGGTGGCTTTCCTGGATGCCCCATTCCAACAGCAGCAGACACACAGTGACGGAAGTCCAGTAGGAGCCGGCGACCCGTCAGCGCCCTGGGTGCCGCCATCTCTCCTCCAGCCCCGCCCAGCACACCACAGAGAGCGGCGCCCGAGAGGCGTCCTGGACGTTCTGGTTCTGGGCTCCGATTGTGCAAAGAATCCATTTGGCATTCAGTCTCAAACCCTAGTGCGAAGGCGGCGGGCAGAGCCTGGGGCCGAGGAAAACTAGGAAGACTGACTGAAAAGAAGAGCCATTTTGATTTTAGCTAAAGGCAGCAGAGTGTCATAGCCAAAGAGGGCGCGGCCATCGGAGGAGCGCAGGCCCTGGGGGAGGGGCGCAGAGCCCTGTCCCCAGGAGGAGAGGCGACATGGGGTCCCACGGGCAGGGCTCCCGCACCTCCCTAAGCAGGTCAGAGAGTCTCACTAATAACTCTGAAAGGGTGAGGACCAGAGTTGCTGAACAACCAACTAAGGTCACCCAGGCGATTAGACCGCGCAGGGCTACCGTGACCTTGTGCGACCTCCGCACAAGGAGGTCTACAGAACCGCATTCTCTACGGGTTGGAGAAACATCGGCAGCTGCGCCCAAGGTCCAGATGGTCCGGGAGTGGCTGACCCCCTCCACCAGTGCTCGCTCCTCGGCGCTGACCCTTCGCCAGCTCCAGGGTGGTCCTAGAGAGCTCTGGAATCCCAAGAGCCCCGCGGCCCAGAGCCCCAGAGGTCCCTCCCCACGGTCACCCTATCTCACTATTTTAAATGACTATTTCAAGCCTGAGAAGCTGACAAAGAAGGAGAACAGAGTAAAGGGAAGGACAATAGTGGCACTGAAGGAGCTGACCAAGGAGAGGAAAGAAGCCCTGTCCAGGCAGAAACTCCTGCTCCATGAGTACAGGCAGCTGCACGACGAAAAGGACCAAGTCCAGGCTGAGAACAAGGCCTTTGTGGCATACCTGGACGAAAAGAATGAGCAATGCAGAAGGAAACACGAGGAGCTGTGGATGGATTATTTCCGACAATGTAGGGACATAGAACAACAGAGACAAGCATTAACCTCCAGATTAAACCAACGAAATGCTGACCTCAAAGCTCAGCTCTTGCAGGGCAGGAAGACCCAGTCAGATATAAAGCGTCAGTTGAGGGCAGTGAAGGACATTTGGCTAATAAAGGAAAACCAGGATATGAAAATAGAGACCTTACGGAAGGAGAAAGAGAAAGTCCTGTTTGAGACAGCCATCAAGGACCAGGACGCACACTTCTACTTTCTGCGAGAGAAGAAACTCCTGGAGAAACAACTGAATGAACTAGAACTGATGGAGTTGGGAGAGAGCCAAACAAGGGAGCTGAGGAAGAAGGCCAAAGCCTTGGAGTTGACAGCCAAGAAAGCTCATGTGGAGTTCTGTCGTGGCATCAACAAGGAGAGCCATGAGCTACGGGAGGAATTACACCAGCTAACCCAGGAATACAAGAAGGTGGAAGCTACAAGGACCCGGTTGGAAAGGCAGAAGCAGCAACTGAAGGAGGAACAGTGGTATCAAGAAGCCTTAATCAAGGGGAGGCAACGACTGCAGGCACTGCGTGAGCATCCTCCAGCCCCCAAAGAACAGGTTGCTGCAAAGGTCACACAAAGTCGTCCTTTCCGCCCCCAAACAAAAATAAATACAAAGTAATTCCTGTAATCACTGATGAATTAAAAACGGGAGCAAATAATGCTGAATGTTAAGTAAACCTGTGAAGATGACCTTTGGATTTCAGGCTACTCCTAGAGGATAATTCATCATGAAAAATGGAGTTGGTGGTGTTTCTCCATGGAGGAATACTGTGCAGATGTAGGGTCATGCTCCTGGATTGGGTAGGGTTCACCTGCTAGTGAATCACTGCTTTAGCCTGGGTCCGTTATGCATGTCAAAAATTCAACTACCCCAAAGGTTATAATAATTAAAATTGTATTTTTAAAGTTCCAAACTGGAAAAAATTTGTAAAAGAGTTCTATACCATCCCTTTTAACAGCATTCAAAATTCCAAAATGACAAGTAAAATTATCTAATTATAGTGTACCCTTTAGTTTTAGGTCCCTGATTTTTCTTAACACCTACTTTTGTACAAAGATCCTCTGTAATTAGCATATTCTATGTATTTATGCCGATTATTTAGAACTAGGATTGTATTTTAAATTGGTCTAGACTTTTATTTGGAGGAGTGTATTTTTCCCATTTGTGACAGACTGAGGCTAGAATGGTCATTTGTTGGACTATTGGCCCTATCTTCCTAATGCGCCCATGTGGGAAAGTATTGTCAGCTTTGTGTTTTCAGGAATTGTCAGCAATGTAAAACTTGAAGATGACTTACCAGACTACTCAGTCTTATTTATATTTAAAGTGACTCCATTTAAACTTGGATTAAAAAAGAATGCTTCCTCAACTTCTTTAACTTCTAGCTTTTGTGAAGTATGTTATTTAACAATGTTACTAAACAAAAAAAAAAAGCCTACTTGTGATTATTTTTAAAAAATTCATCTGATCCCACCTCTTCATATCTTACATTGGGGATTGAATTTTGACATGAATTTTGGAGGGGGCAAACCATAGCAAGGATAGGTGCTGAAAGATGAGCATAGAAGAGGAATGAGCACATCAAGGTCAGGAGTGAAGGTCACAGGAAGGACTGATGCTTGAGCTGAAGGTGTAGGCTGAAAACAAAGACCCTTGTCCCTGGGCCCAACAGGGTGAAGGTAAGAAAGTCAAACCTGGGACCCTGTCCAAGGATACCAGTGGAAAGCCTGGCTCTTCTTTCTCCTCTTTCAGAAACAGTTGCTTAAGAAATAAGATTCTTCCAGTTCCTGGAAGTCTTCTAATGCAGATATTCTAGACATTTTCCTTTTTCTAATATGTATGTTTTTGTATTTTCAACTGCTCATTTTTTCCAGAAATGTGCTTTTTTTTTTTAAGGCCTTGCTTTGGTCTTAGTAATCTAAATTTTGATGATTAATTTTGATCTTAAGTTATAAACCACATGATTGTTTTTTTTAAGAATAAAAGTGATCCATGGAAACCTGCTTTCTTAATGACAGAAACCTTGACTTCAGGCTTTGATGACAGATCTCAGATATTTAAATCAATTGACTGGATTCCTTAAGGGGCTAGGAGAGAAGATGAGGACAAGAGTTTCTGCAGGTTCTGCCAAAATCTTAGAAGAAAGTAAACAGCTGTAAATTTCTGAGAACCAAGACTAATAAATATATCTTTCTAGGCACCTGTGTGGCTCACACCTGTAATCCTAGCTACTTGGGAGGCTGAGATGGGGAGATTTGAGGTTTGAAACCAGCCTGGACAAATAGTTTGTGAGATCCCCATATCCAAAATAACCGGAGCAAAATGGTTGGAGGTGTGCTTCAAGGAGTAGAGTGCCTAGTTTTCAAGTGTAAAGCCCTGAGTTCAAACCCCAGTCCCACACAAAAATAGATGATGATAGATAGATAGATAGATAATCACTGATCACAAATTCAAGCTTTTATTATTATTATTATTGATGATATTACCTAATATTTCTGAGAACCATTTGTATGCCAGGCATTCTTCAAAATTCTTTGCACAGATTACTTCTAGTAACCATTATACTAACTCTACAAGGCAGAAAAATCTAATGCTCATTTTACCAGTGTTAACTGTGAAGACTCCATTCGTGTTAACTATTTTCATTAGTTATTTGGTACCTCCAGCAAATAAAATGGACATTCTGTAATAACTGAAGTAATTCCTAAAAAGTGATTTAGGTGCAAGTCTTCTCAAATCTTGTATTTAAACTTTATGGATTTTCATGTTATCGTGCACTAACTCTTAGTTAAGCATGTACACATAGTAAATATGCCATAGATTGGACAACTTCATTACATCTTTTAAATAGATTTGTAACACTAAACAATCTGCCTCTAAATTTACTGTAAAAAATATTCTTACAATGTTCTACGTTAAAAGTCACTTGTGAAAGAGAGTTAGAGCCTTCTAAAGAGGGCTCCTGCTTGCATGGATTCTACTTGAGAATAGCCAGTTACTAACTCTGGCTATTCTTGGGAACTTCCAAGTGTACTAAGTTAAGGGGTCTCTTTCTTCCTGTTTACTTAATTATAATGGTTTTTGGGAAATAGCTATCATATTATAAATCATAAACAGTTGAGTGTTAATCTTAATAGATAATGGTATCTAAGCCATGTACTATGAGATGGATTTTAATAATCCTAGTAGAATGGAGTTTTTAAAGAATAGAATCCCTCTGCCCTAGGGGTATTAAAATCTCTTCCAGCCCTAGGGTTATTACAAACCTCTAGCTTTTCCTACAGGTAGATGAAAAAATGGTATAGCCCAAGCATGCTTAAGTCTCATCCAGGGAAGTACAAGTTCTTCAACAGACAGAGAGGAAATGAGGCTTGGAATTGTAGAGATCAGACTGGTATGGAATCAATAGTAGATTAACTTTGCTTCTTAATTCTTTCACAAGAGATAGAAGATGATAAAACCCATGTGTATCCATGGAGAATTTTCTACTTTTATATGCAGAATAGTCTTTAGAAATTTGGTCTACCAAATGGAATTATTTACTAATCAACACCTGTCAATAAGATAATGATTTCAAGGACTTAAACTGTTCCTTAAAATAGGAACTGAGTGCCCATGTAGGATCCCAGGGCTTTGTTGATTGATTTGATAGTTAATTAGTGAAGAAACTTGTAGTCAATTCCTCCTCCCATTTTTCACCAAGACCATAAAATGAAAGTAAATTGAGATTTAGAATAAAGCGGTTACTTTCCCATATGTTCCCTTAAAATGGGATGTTTGTCATCTGCACACAACCTCCCAACAAACATTTATTGAGCACCTATGGGCAAGATACACTAGCCTGAGGATATACAGATACAAGTTCATGGCCTGTGAGAGAGACAGATGGTCATCCAAATCATGATGGAGGAACATAATGAAGACACCATAATGAGGCAAGTTGATACTGCATTGAGCTTTGAGCTGCTAAGTCCTCAAAAATGAAGTTGTACTTCTACCATCAAGTAGCTTTTGGGAATTAGGAGACTTGAGGAAGTTTAGGTCAGCTTCTTAACAACATACGGAAGAAAAATGATAGAACCCTTTGTTCTCTAACTACTGTAACTTTTGTGGTACCTACTGGAGGTCAATTTGACCAAGAAAATGACTAAACTCCCTCACTAGGAAGTGAAAAGGATAATTTCAGTGTTTATATTATAGTAGTAAAATAGTACTTTCTGAGAACTTATATTTAGCCATATATATAATATGAAACACTCCCTGTGCAATAATACTTCATTTAAAATCCTGTAATTTGTCAACTTGACTGGATTGAGAATTGCGTAGATTAGTAAAGCACACCTCTGCATGTACCTGTGAGGACATTTTCAGAAACAATTAGATCATGAAGACTCTCATCTAATGAATGGATTAATCCCTTGGCGAACTCATAAAATTATGGCATTATTAAGAGTTGTCAAAGATAGAAGAGGTGGGGCCTAAAGGAAGTAGTTCACTGGGGCAGGTCCCTGGGGATTACATCTTTCCCTGGACCCTTCCTTTATCCCCTTTCTCTGCTTCCTGACTGCGATGAGTTGAACAACTCTGCTCTATAAGCTCACATTGCCATGATGTTCTGCCATGGCATAGACCCAAAACCAACAAAGCTGGCCATGTTGGACTAAAACTTCTAAAACTGCAAGCCGAAATAAAGGATTCCTTCCTTTAAGTTGATTCTGTCATGAATTTGTTCATAGCTATGCACAAAACAACTAACATAACCCCCTTCCCAGTAACTATGAAATAGGTATTATTACCATTTCTTTCCATTGTATAGATGTGATAACTGAGCCACAGAGATATAATTTTCACATCAAAAATGGTGTAGTCTTCTATATCTACTCTCTTGACTCTTCTGCTGCTGAGAATATTATTAAGAATAATGAATTTCTAACATGATTAAAATAATGCCATCACAATATGGCTTAAATAGTTAAGACACCTAAGCCTCGCATACTACTTATTTTAAGTAATATTATGTAAAAGAATGTTTCTAATATAATTAGAAAAGCCTTGCAATTTTCTGATATCCCTAATAATGGAATTTGAATTGTGGTCAAACTACTAATAAATATGTTAAACTATACCGAGAAAGAAGTCAATGACAGGTGTGATTTACTTTTTCCCTGGATGGCTAAGGTAGTCTAACCAAACTAAACTATCCAAAATATAAATCAAGATGTTTGACAAACTCTTCCTGGCTCTTCTAAAATGCAATTCTGGCAGCAACTTTTGAGAGAATATCAATTCAAATACAGAAATAGAAAGATATAAACTTTTACAAAGAGGACAGTCCTGAACTCAAATATTTCCTATTTACATCTAAACTAACCAGTAAAGTTGTAAGCACTCTGAAAATGCTTTCACTTTAGACTTGGTTTCTCTGTAAAGTAAAAAGCAAGGGACCCAACCTGGTATAGAATTCAAGAAACTGTCTCTAAGAGGTGACAGATAAGTTTCTCAATGTATAGGAGTACAAGAAGTGGGGAGGGAGGGATGGAGAGGAGTAATTCTGAAAGATGTAATAGTGTATTCAAAAGACTAAAGACAAGAGAATGTGTGGGAGATTAAAACCCAAA